CATTTTCGACCCCTATTTGACCCCCAAGGTGAAAATTCGAAAACCTTATTGTACATCTACATGACACCATGTGAAATATTTTTCTTATAAATTTTATGACTGAAAAAATCTGTGCTAGCAAGCAGATGAGCGAAGGCAATTTAGCGTATAACCTGTTGATCACTAGTCTTCTAACATTGTTTTTGATTGGTTGATTTTCTTCAGTAAGAATATTAAATTGTACCGGTAAGTAGAAATGGTAAGTGTTATATTTTTACTGCAGTAAAATTAATTGCTTGTGATTAAGATGGCCACGATGTATTTTTACTTCACTTCAGTAAGAAAGTAAATTATTTTTATTGGAGTAAAATCAATTTTACTGGATTAAAAATATATAATTGTGTAGCAATGGCTAGTGTTTTATTTTCTGAAGTTAAATAATTTTTGTTGAGTAAAAAAAAAAAATTTGAGTAGCATGGTCAACCATATTTGTGACTAATGTATCATATATGGGTTTGAAGATCACCGACATGAGTGAACGTCTTTGATATATGAATTATTGCATGAAATATGGAGATAACGAACAGTATTCAAGCTCAAAGTCCATTAAAACAATACAAATCGGAGCAGAGCAAATACGGACCTCCAAAAACATCAGAGGTGGGATCAGGTGCCATGGAGGAGTGAGCATCCCCTGCCGACCGGTCATAATGCTCCTTGTTATTATCGGGAAATAACGGAAAAATCTGTCGACAATTCAGTGTGTAAATAATGGCCTAACAATTAGTATGAAAAACGCCAATCAGCATATCAGCATATGTACTTAATGATAGATTGTATTTGCTGATAGGGTCATTGTATCGACAAGAAACTTATGAAATGATGACTTTAAACGAGTCTGTTGATATTCTTGCTTCATCAACTTGTTTGTCAATAACTTACCTCATTTTAGAAATTGTTCATACGTAGAGCATGCTCTTGCATATCGAATCAACTGAGGGATATACACTCCATATGCTGGTGATAAGGGTTTATTGTTCAGAAGTAAGGGATGTTGACGATTACGCGAGTATGTTAAGGAAGCATATAAGTCAATTCTCTGGAAATTTAGACTTTTTAAAGAAAATTAAGTTTGATAATTTACCAAAACCGCTGATAAATGTAAACTATTATTATCTATTGCATAGAGATAAAAGAGTGTCTAACGCAAAGACGTGCACCACCACCACGGCATCACGTGACTTCTATTAATAGCAAAATTTTCCTTAGTAAAAATGCTAACAGAACAACAATACCCCGAAGTGTAATAATTTCTTTGAGTAAATAATATAGTTGGAAAACATCTATTTTGCCTAAAAAGTGCTGCTAGAATCCCACTGTCCCGTCAGTCAAATAATAATTCCACACATTCGCACGAAACCTTACCCGATGTTTTGAATTTTATACATATAAACCGAGATTTTTCGTAAAACCATGCTTAACTCAGGATTCTAGCAGCACTTTCCAAGTATTTTAGGAGGAAAACTTTCCATCTGTACAAATCATATGTTTTGAAATATACAGCTTATTGTTGTTCTGCTGCATTATTTTTGTCACAAATGACAGAAGAAAGGCCGACCGGGATACGTATATAGCTGACTGTCTTCGAAGAGAATACAATCGATGAAATTAAATTAGCATACCTGTTTTAGTAACTGAACTCCATATGAATTTCACAAAATATTCAGAATATTTGCTTTTAAACTCCATTTTACGTATCTTTGTACATGCCGTCTTAGCCAAATTCTCTTTACACGACATGATCAATTCCCAAGTTACTTGAAGTACACATATGACGTCATCGGTGGTAGATTTTAATCAAAATGAAAGATACAGCATAACATAACATAACAGCATTTTTTTGTTAATGTTTACACGTTTCTATTCATTTTCTAGAGTTAAATTACATCTCTAAATACGAATATTAAGAAAACTTGTATTCTAAAATTGACGTCATCTCGCCTACTATGACGTCATAATGTAGCACTGATTAAGTCAAGGTAGAATATTTTGTATGCTTCCTTATTACCCCTGCGTAAAAAAGTTAAAGTCATCACGTTTATCATAAAGCTTTGTTTTTAGATTACCATTAAGGTCTTTTTCTATTAAAATATCAAAATATGAAACAAATATATCAGACTCTTCAGTATCTTTTTTTCAAGCTCACTGGGATATATCGTATCGACATATGAATGGAAATAAATATTGTTAATTGATAATACTTCTTCGATATATCTAAATGTTGAGTTGAAGGCCACAGCAAGAGACTTCTTTTTCTCATGTATAAGATTTTGAATAAATTCTGTTTCATTTGAATACAAAAATAGGTCTTCTAACAACGGGGCACAATTGGTACCCATGGGAATTTCAACAGATTTTTGGAAGACCTTGTCTCCAGTACCACATAGATATTGTCAATCTGAAACTCAAGCATCTTTTAATATCAACTTCAGAGTACTTGTGTGTACAACCAGAATGTTTTTTAACAGAATAATTTTGCATATGACCAATGAAAAGGTAAGAAAATTTATGAGTTCCATTTTTATTGAAAAAGCAGCTGTCAATGATGTAAAAAAGCCTGGACTTTAATTTATCGTGGGGAATGGTTGTATACAGAGTTGAAAAGTCGTAAGGATTTTGCTAAAATTTTGCGATTTCAAATTTTCCAAAAGTTCCTTAGATTTTTTAAGTATACACATCTGATTTACACCACTTCTCAAATATATATTGTTGCACATTTTTCCTGAAGTTTCTCCTTCACTGCTGTTAATATTTTTGTGAGGAGTAAAGAAAGAGGCTTGGTAGGACATTTACTGGATCCCGCTATGTATCTTTGTTTGTAAGGCGTTTTATGAAGTTTCGGAATCCAATATAAATATGGTAATTCAAATTTATTTTGGTTGTTTGGAATATTAATGATATTCAAAACTGACATATGATTTTTACGAATTCCCTCCATACAAAGGGAGCTATGGGTATAAGTTGGATTACCACTTGTAGAATTAAATCCCAGTTCTTCTAAAATAAAATTAAAATAATAAGCCTTACAAACAAAGACAATGTTGTTACCTGCTTTGTCAGCTGGGATCAGTACATACTGATAGTGTAGTCTATCTTATTCTTTTTTTCATTTCTGAATTATTGAACAGACAAGGATAGTTGGTTTTCATATTGCCCCTCAATCGCTTAATGCGAGATTTTAACATACATCTGATACATTTAGTCCGTTATGACAAAGTGTCAAGGTCTTCTTTTTCATGTCTGGCCCATCGCCTGGCGAAATATTAATAATAATAAAACGCAATGAGCAAGGTCTTCTAACAAGATGTTAAAAATAAAATGTTTTTTTTTTAAAAAATATTTCTAGACCCTTCTACATTTATAAATCAATATCTACTCCGAAAAAAGCATGAATGAGTAAGAAAAAAAATCTGTTCATAAAAAAAGCACATCTGCAGCCCACATTGACCTTGATTGCTGTGGTTATCTGAACTTTTCGTCGTATTTTCATTACATAATTCAGGTGAACTCGATCTTTTAGTTATTTTTCCTACCAAGTACCCCATCTTTGATTCAAATCTCATCCTTTGGATTTTCATGATCTCCATAAACATACTTTCATTTATGTGTCAGCTTTCCATTTTTTGTCGTTTTTATCATCCGATTCAACATTTGTAGGAATGGATACGTACAAAACAAAAAAAAAGATTTGGACGATTCATTACAAGTTTTAGATTAATTCTTTTTAAACTTACGTTGTATTCAGGTTTAATATTAATCCTTTTGTTTATGCACTTCCTTAAGATATTGATGGTCTTGGAGTTTTCTTAAAATTTTGATGGGATTATTTTTTGGAAGTGTACGAGTTCCAGGGTTATTGCCTCATTAGCTTAACATCAACAGGTACATTGTGTATAATAAGTATATAGAAAGTTTGTTTGAAATGTTTACCTTTTCAGATTTAGTAGCCTGCCTAGCGCTCTGGTTAAATGAAGGTCTTGCTTCGTACTACTGTCGGGGAGTAAGAAGTTGATCGTTACCTTTAGAGAGATTGGAAGACACCACCGGTCCTACGGATGAGACCGTAAATACAGAAGTCGCGGTAGATACTTCCACAAAAGGGTTCCTCATAATAACAAGGGGCATTAGTACTTAATACAGGTTTTTGCTATTTAAATTGATGATCACTAATTTATGCTGCCCAGTGTACACTTTCCTTTCAATTGTTCGTTTAATTTTTAACATACCGAAGCAAATGATACAAGTGTTACAAGATTTTTTCTTTTTCCGAAACTGCAATAGATTAAGGGAAATGCAACGCCCTGATATTTCTTTTCTTTTAATTTTATAGTCATGAAACCGTGAAATTTTCTCAAGAGATATAAGATTACACCAACCTTGAAAATAAAAAGGCGATTGTGTGTAATAATTCGTTTCAAAATTGACCTGTAAGCATTCTTGATACTACAGCGATGATGCATAGTCCTAAGGCAAAGTCATAGAAAGTTTACAATTAAAAAAAAAACATTAAAAATTTGATATTTTTAGCTAAATCTTCAATTATTGAAGAAACATAATAAATTCGTGCTCATGTTTCAATTTCTTTGATCGGCTGCTACTGAACCCAGTTGATTTCACTCGAGGTAAGCATTTGTACGTATTGGACGCGGCCAAATAAACACTTTCCAGTATTTAAAATAAAGGACATATAAGCCGAAAAATTGAACTTCGTATCAGAATGTTTTCCCCTGAAATTTCAGATTAATCTTTGTCTATTATGGAGTTATAAATGCCCCACTATGAATGATCAACATATAGGTTTGAAAATCATGGACATAAGTGAAAATTTGCCATAAAAGCAAGAAACGCAATCAGCGATTACCCCGTCAAAATATTAAGCTTCTCACACGATTTTAAAGTTCTGAAGAATGTTACTTTGACCATATCCAGAATGTTTTGGTACACAATGCTTTAATTCTAAATTAGGCAATTTGGAAACCAGAGAAGGTCCATCTGCCGTTTCCATCGCTGAGGTATGATCCTTGATGAAGAGTTGTAGCGCGTGTCATAATGACGTCACCTGCATTGACGCTTAAAATAACAAATCCGGTGGACATTTCGTCATCATAAGATGCTTCTGTATCGGCGTGAATTGTCCCCTTAACATGTCCATTTTGAAGCAACTGGGATGTAATTTCACCTAATTCTGAGCCACTGTCTCCTGACATATGCCGCCCAGATGCAAAGACTGTCCAGGAAAAGCCATAAACACCAGATCTGGGAGCGGTAAATGCTCCACTATGTTTGCTATATCCATTTCCTAAATTTGTGACAACTACATCATAAATATGGGTTTGAAGATCACCGACATGAGTGAACGACTTTGAAATATATGCATAAAATGCAATTGGTGATAGTCCTGTCAAAAATCTTCTAACACGATGTTTAAATTCTGTAAAAAAAAAGAGAAGATTTTTTTTAATTTTTAGTTCTTTGCGTTTATAAATCATCATCTATTCCTATAAAATGAATAAATAAGTAAACAAGCCGTTGATTAAAAAAAATCAACTGAAACTCATACTGACCTTGATTGCTGTGGTTATCTGCATTGTTAGTGGTATTTTCATTACAAAATTTAGGTGAAGTCGCTTTTTTAATTATTTCTTCCTCCAAGTTCTTCATCTTTGAATCAAATGTCAACCTTTGAATTTCTATGATTTCCATAAGCCTCTCTACTTTCATTTCCATGTCAGCTCTCCATTTTTTGTCGTTTACACCATCCGCTTCAATCATGAAAGTGATGGATACGCACAAAAGAAAAATAATTTTGGGATACCAACTCATATTGCATCCAAATTCTCCAAACTTTGGTTTTTTTTACATTAAGTTTTGCCTACAATTAAAAAAACTTTAGTCAGTAGGCATTATGAAAAGAGTTTATATAGCCATGTCTTCTTTTTTGACCCAGTAATGTTTTTCTAGATCACTTGCCAACCGTTTAATGACATATTCTTGCTATGATGATATGTTATGTTGGTGGTACATAACAAAATCACTATATACAGAAGTCTTTTAAAATAGATCAACACAACTTATGTGAGCCTGAAACGTTTAAATAACTAACCAATGGAAGAATTGTATAAAACTTTAGTTGTAAGGAGGTTTTGGACTATTCCTTTAAAGATTTTGATTGACATCGATCGTTTTAAACTTACAAAGTAAATTGGGCTTAGTGTATATCCTTAAGATAATGATGATCTTGCAATTTTTTAAAGAATTTTTATTGTCTCTTATTGTGTTTGTCAAATTTTACTTCATTTCACTGAAAAATGCAGCAATATGCTTTCATGTAATCACATAAAAGCCTCAGTACATAGTTAAATACTTGTATGCATATTGTATGATTCGTTGATTATTTCGAGTGATAACATTTGGTGCGTACATCTGTTTTTACAGAAAAATGACGATTATCCCCATTTTCATCTGTCCCGGTATTTTTTTTTTATCAGACCACTAGCTTACTGTTAGGAATTTTTCTTGCTGACATGATATGTTATGTTGGTGGTACACACCTCTTATCGTATACAAAACCTTTTTAAAAAGGTCAACAAATTAAAATTGATCTGAGCCTGAAATATCTCAATAAATTAGTTAAGGATATAAGAAATAAACGCTTGGTAAAGGGAAGCGGGGGGGGGGGGGGCTGAGGTTTTGGACGATCCCTTATAACTTTAAATTTCATTTTAAAAATTATCATAATTAATTATCTTAAAAATCTTGGTTCTTGTGTACCTCAATACGATTATAAGGGTTGTTTACTTTTTGAGAATTTTTGTTTGATCCCATCATATATTTGAAATTATTTGAATACAGAGATTGTTGCTTTAACACCTTGTTCATGGAGCAAACGTATGCACAATGAGGATATATGAAAATAACGGTGTATGTATGTTTACCTCTGAAATTTAGTTACCTGCACGATGCAGTAGAGAAAAGACTTAATTCTCTTTGTCTTAAAATGTGGGAGTTTTTATGAGTTGTTGACATTGCGGGTTTGAGTTTCTTTTTGGACGTTAAGACTGGTTCTGCAGATAAGATCATGTAATCCATGTCCATGCAGTGCTTAATGGCCACGATACAGGTTTACATTTTGTGATGGGTGATGACTAATTCACATTCCCAAGTCTACACTTTTTAAGTAATTTTTGTAATTTTGAACATTGAAAAGTAATTCAAATGCTGCAAATTTTATGCAAAAAATTTGTGTTTAAAAAGTATCAATATTAAGGAAATGCAGCATCTCCTTTCATGATTTCTTAATTGATAAAGACACAAACCGTGAATATTTTGAGATTATAACGTAAGATTTATAGTAACACTATTCGAACAATAAAATGGCGATGACTATTAACGTTAAATGAGTTTAATAGTTTTACCTGCAGCCTATGAAGCATACTTGAAGCACAGGGACTTGCTTCTGGTGTGTAATATATATATATATATATATATATATATATATATATATATATATATATATATATATATATATATATATATATATATATATTAAAATGTCAGTTCTTGTCTTTATATCTCAAAATACGTTAAATTTTAATACGCAAGGAGATTTGAATTAAACAAAAGTGAATAGATACTATATTAAGCAGAATAAACCCTGAACCAGGGCTCCAGAAAAGGAGTTTCCACAAGTCCAATATGCTACATGTACCTTTATATCTTAGCTACGTCTCCTTGCGCATATATAATCAAGGATGATCAAATCAAAATGTTCTTAAAGGCCCGTCAGAAAGACATATTATGCTTAATTGATATGAAAATTTGTCTCTGGTGACCTAATGAAGTTTTCAATTGTATTCAATAGATTGATTTTAAATTGAAAACGAAATAGAAGTCATACAATTATTATATAAAAAAATTTTGGGCTCTTCACCATATCCTCTTGGGGACCCTTTGTTCACTTTTTAATTCCTGCATTTGCACTGATAATGTTCTGTATAATTTATTGTTCATTTAATTTGTTTTTCAAAATTCTTTTAACATATTTTAGAAAACTTGAATAATGAATGAAAAAAGTTGAAAATCCTCGGCTGTGCACAGGTACGAGAAGGGGCCGTGTTGTTTTAGCATTTGTATTCTTCAGTGTTCAGTTTCTGTTTGTTTATCTGAATATTTAGCCTGTTAAGGGGAAGAAGGACCTTTAGCTGAAAAAAATACTTGTCATTCAATTTTTTTTTATATTTTGTGTATTTCTAACTAAGTATGTCCCACAAATCTTAAAGTAGTTATATCATTAGGTTTCTTACTTTATTTTAGAGATATTAGTTGACAAATACTATGCCCTACAGTATCTAAGTTGAGTTTTAATTCTCCATGTTTCCGAGCTCATTACTCTGTCCATAATGGGATTTTTAAAGCATATATAAAAACATGTAAGTGAACATGTATATTTTAAAATATTTTAGAGTATGAATAGGGTTTAAAATTAAAAAAAGCAAGTTTCTTCTATCACACGGCATCTGGATAGGGAAAATTACGAACTTTTTAAGACAACTTAAACAACAAAACACGTAATTTACAAAAAATTCTATCATTCAATATTTTTAAATTTGCGTTGAAATGCAAGTCCTACTAATTATTGATTAACTGTAAAAATTTCGAATGGTGAAGCTGACCTCAATATTGCACAGGACATCGTTAAAGAGGACATAAGCAGAACGAAAACGTGTCATGTTTACATTTTTCTCGAGTACAGGAAAAACCATCTATGATGTCACATGTAAGCTAAATAAGCGAAATAAGATTTCCGTCATCAGCCATGCAAAAATAATTTTTGTGTTCCCTGTTTCTCAAAATAGTTTATCATATACTGATTATGACCTGTTTTTACATAATAGTACCGCCCCTGTTTTCACCGAGTATGATCTTGCTGTACTAACAGATCGTGTATGACGTCACCGACGAATTGGACACGCAGTTTAGGGAAACAGAGGAGTGGATCAATCTTTTTCATAATTTGTTAATGTTTACAAGAATGTTAAACTTTTATTTTTTTTTAATATTAGATGGTAATTAAAGAAAAAAAATTTGTCAATAAATTATACAAGAACTGATGCTTTATACACGTTTTGCACTTATATAAACGGAGACTATGACGTAGTTAAACAGAGTCATGTGACTGTAACGCCATCACACCACGTATGCTCAAATTGCAACACATGATAGAAGCTAAGTGTAGCGCAGACGGTGTTAGAAGTACATATTAAACTTCTGCTCAGACTGCATATTCACATCGAGAAATAGGGACAGACAAAATACATAATCCTTTCATATACCTCAATAATATGATGCTTGAAAAAACCTATAGTCCCCTCCGGTTTCACCGGTAGGGGACTAATAATAGAGAGTATGTAAAGTTTACAATTTATTAAATTAAATCAAATAACAACATATGAACAACACTCTCACACAACATTCGGGTTGTATAATTTCAATTCATGACCAAATGTATTAAAAATAAATAACAATAACCCACATAATTGTCAAGTGTTCCCTCCCTTAAGACATTTACTTCAAGAATAAAAACAAAAAGGGAATAACTCTGATTAAATAATCCTATAATAAAATTTTATTAGATGAAAACAGGATTTGATATACCAATTTGTAAAATGAGTTAAGTTACTCACTTGTTCACTATGGTTAACCTAAACCATATAATAATGTTTACTGACATATGAACGCACAGTTCGGTTACTGCATTGTTCACAATAGTTAACCTACTTAGCATATAAACTAAAGACTAACTCACAGATGCATACAATAATTAACGCACTGAATTAATTTACGAATGGTTTGTTCTTAAATTATCTATCGATAAATTCAGAATGAAAAATATCACTAAAAAAATATAATTAAATAAATTACCAATGATAATCAAACTAACTCTTTACCTATTCAAAAATATTTCTCAATCAAAAATATCTCAAAATTCAATCAATTTATAAATCAAAGAATTTACGATAAATCTACTAACTCAATAAAAATCACGGAAATTACAACCCACAGTTAAATCACTGCATCAGTTGTTATTCCGTTAAATATAAATAAATAAAAATCTAATCCTAAAGTAAAATAAACAAAATTAAAAGAAAAGAAAAAAAAATAAACCTAACAACACTACCAACCTATCCCTAAACTACCAGTTCCCCAGAATAACAAGCAGACGAAAATGCACCCTTTATATGATTGCGCCCATGGGAAAAGGGTGCTTATGGCAATTTTTACACATTTTGAGTTTTTCATGGATTTTGATAGAACAAGGTTAGGAGTTGTTAAATCTCAATTTTTATGGTCCTACTTCAACTCTAAGTATGTTTTTTCTTCATTTATATCAATGATACTTCACGTGAAATCATGACGTCATGTTACTTTTGCACCAACGTCAAACGTCAAACGTTTTCGGAGTGAACCGTGACTATGATTTTTTTTTAGTGTAACGTTACTAATATATGTATGTATAGAATCCTTTTTTTTAAATTCATTTTCTTGTTAATTTATAAATAGTTGTTATAAGTAGTTCCAGCAACGGTATAGAATTATGAGTGTTTGAGTTGTTTGTTGTATACACTTCGCTCATGTTGGGACGACAGGAAATTTATACCTCAGAAGTGTGCGACTTCCAAACAAGAATTGTTTTGCAAATATATAGGAAATAGGAAATATATAGGATTAACTCGAAAGTCATTTCATTTTAAATATGGGTCTCGATGGGCAAAGATATCAATTTTTTGTTGTTTGAAACAGGCCTGTAGGAAGCAATTTCAGTTGGGAGGCACTATCAACTACCAAAAATTCCTTGAAAAGCGAAGAAAAAAAGGTCATCAGGCGTTATTATTGAGGGGGCACAAGCATATGGTAGCTATGTTGTCTAATGTATTCTATATTCGGCAAAATTTTGGCCCCCCCCCCCCCCCCGGTTCCTACGGCCATGTGAAATAAGTATAAATCTGATATATCTTCCCAAAGGTGAAAATAAAAAATGTCCTTGGGAACAATAGTAATCTAGAAAGTACCGGGTAGTGTAAAATATATTTTTTTTCTTTTTCTAAATATAAACATGATAAAGACAGAAAATGTAATTTGTAATGTTTTACTAATATTCAACAATTTTAAGGACATTAAGTCGATACAATGTAGATACATTGCATGTTAAGCAGTATTCCACAAAATTTTTTCAAACAAAGACACGGAAGGACTTCTGTCTTGAATATGGTAATAAAATAATCATTATTTTAATTGACACAATACCCCTTTTTCAATTCCAGCATTGAACATTTTTAATTATTTATTTATTAAACAGGCTGATTAAATGAGCTACAGTTCACATGCATGAATAAACTAAGGGGCAATTCCAGGATTTCCGGTGGTGATTATTTAGGGATGGGATGGGGTGGGTGGGGTTAGAGTTAAGTAGGGCTCCGCGTAAAAATCATGCAGGTAGCACAGAAAAGGCGCTACATCGATAATCTGCAAATTTATTAAAACTGAGTTTAATATATTCATTTGGGTCTAAAATGAATGATAACGAATGGATTTGTTATAATTCTTCTTTTTTCATATAGCTAGGGATAGGGTATTCCAGGGGTAATTTTGTATGGATAGTGTGTAAATAGTGCATATTTCAGAAAATAATTTCTTCTAAACCCAAGAAGATGTATAAAATCTAAACACATAATTACAGTGAAAATAGAAAGTGTAAATTAAATTTACTCTAATATTTTTGTGCAAACAAAGGATTGAAAAGATACAGGGTGTTAAAAATCTGGAATTTGTGAAGATTCTTCGTATGAGTTATCTCCCTTAGGAAATTTATATAGGTGGCGGTAGTAAAAAAAATGGCGGCCTCCATGAAAAGCTGTACTCTGCAAAGTTATTTTGATGCATCATGTGGTGTTCATTGCAAATATCTGTGTGAATTGAGTAAAAATGATTGAAAGGAATTTACAAGAACAGATTGGACATGGAGCTCGTGTAAATTAAGAGGAAAAAAAATCCGTGAAACGAAAAAGTGTAGCTTGGGAATATTACTGTCATCGTGTTGATAAGGGTATCAGCAATTTTCCTTATTACTGACATCAGTATGGTCTATGTCGGAAGTTTAGCTTCTAAGTTAATCCACCAGAATCCAAGAGTAAGCCCTCAGAGAGGAGTTGCAGTCCGACTGTGTCAGCATACTCAACTTGGAGAGGGAAGATAATGTACCGGCGCCACCGGTACATTTGGACAGCTGTTTGAACAGCTTGATAGGTAGGATTTAATTTAAATTTACTTCTTATGTATGGTTATTGATATTTTATACAGTAAAGTATGTATTTGGAAAATTGTTGGGGATGGCCAGTTCCTACATATATCAATATCATGTCCATTTTGAAAAAAATGACATCTTACACATATATATGTTTGAATAATGTTACTGTGTCTTGGGACAGGCCCTGACCACAGTTAGAATGCCTTCCATATTCTCGCAATGTGGCAGAAAATGGTGGAAACACTCTGAAATGATTTTGGAGGAAATAAATGAAATTGCATTGAAAAATAAGCGTCAAGTTAATAATAACAAAGTTAACCTTTTTTTGTCACAGGGATACCTTTCACCCCCAAAAATTAATCCATATAATGTAAGAGTTCAACACTTTTTGTCAAGGTTTTTTTACACGATTCAAATTTACATGCCATGTTGACAGTCAGAAATCTCTGAATTATTCAGAGTAAATGCATTGACCAGAGTTAGTTATGACACGATAGCTCAGTGTTTTGTATTAGCCAACTATTCTGTATCTAAAATACAGCACAGTCTAAAAATAAATCTGATTCAATTTATCAAAAGCAAGTACAAATAGTACCGTAAATGCTGAGTTTTATCTTATTATAAAATTTGGAGAAATATATCCCTAGCAATGTAAAATATCAAAATTTCTCAATTTTTAAACAATTATTCCACACAGAATCTACACGTTATTTCGATCCAAACAAAAAGGAAAATTCGCAGTTATGGAAAGCATCCTATGTTTAATAAATTTCTGAAAACCTGTTTGCTTTCCCTGCTTTTTTGGGGTCCCCTCCAAAATAGTTAAGCCAATGGGTTCACGGGTGCAGCATACATTATGTGAACTTCGCACAGTCACCCCCCCCCCCCCCCCCCGCATTTTCCACTCTTCTCGTGCAAACTCATTCAAGTCCATTTTGAGCATTTTTTTTTAACATTTCATCTTAAATTCTTATCGCTGACGACTGCTGCACATCTCTTTCTCTTCATTTTTAAATTTAATGTCGCATTTCAATAAGAAAATAAAAATTTGTGACATCAAAGTTCATTGAAGAACTGTTTGTATCGCCTGCATGTGTATCTAGTTAAACTGAGATTTTAAGACCCCTGAAATAAATTAGGATCAGTCTCCATCTACGGCAAGGTTAAATTGTCCACCTTATCAATTAAGACAACGTCTCCCCCGTTTTCAAAACTAATCTGACTAAATCTTACATTGTCCATGGAAATATATATCTACTGCGGAGGCATACTCCCCATCAAGGCCTCATCTACAGAGAGAACAAACAAACACTGGCAGTAGTTTGAATGCTGCACAGCTATAAAGTGGGCGGTGCTTTTTCTTGATTGATCATGTCACAAATCATTTAGAGAACTCGACAGGTTCTGTATCGTAGATACAAATCTGGGGGCGGAGACTAGTGCTATGCACTCGTCCACCCCCAAATTTGTATCTACGATACAGAACCCGTCTCATTCTCTAAATAATACTTATTGCCCGGTTTGTTTTGCTACATAACATTGCTAATACACATTCTTTCATTAAACCGGGTCTGTAGGAGAATATCATCTTAACAATAGAACATTTTATCATCATATAAGTATGGAACATTGTCTGTGCTCTCATCATTAATCAATACATGTCCCATACAACAACCATTATTTAACGTGACCCAAATTTAAGGGATTCAGTGGGAAGGCCCGGGCCATTAGCTTAAAAAATTCTTTGTTTGCAGTTGCCAACCTATAATTTTTAGAGTGGATACGTAGGTTTTTTTTTTTTTTAAAAAATAAGTTATTTTTCAGACTTTTATTAGATAACAAATTATAGAGATATTCATACTTCAAGGCTTACTTAACATAAATAAGCTTCACTTGATAAAAACAAAAATAAAAAATAGAACATTTTCAATATCCTGAAAAACTGAAACTTAACAAAAAATAATACCGGTAATACAAAATGGCTGAAAAAAAAAGTTTGGGTCGGGTGCATTTTCAGTGCATGGGTAGGCAACTGCAAACAAATTAATTTTTATTTTAGGCCCCAGGTTTATGGTAATTCAAATTGAAAATGAACATGTAAATTTTACTAATTAAAAGAAGTATAATTTTTTATGCTTTATGTGATAGGTTTTGATTTTTTAGCTCACCGGAGCCAAAGGCTGCAGTAAGCTTTTCTGATCACACTTTGTCAATTGTCTGTTGTTGTTCCAGGTGTCATTGTCATCTTTGTTTAAAACTTTTCACATTTTCATCTTCTTCCAGAACTGCATGGCAAATTTCAACCATATTTGCCACAAAGCATCCTTGGATGAAGGAGATTCAGTGTTGTTCAAATGAAGAGCCTGGCCCTCTTTCAAGGGGAGATAATTAAAAATTAGTTAAAATTTAATGAATCTTTCAAAAATCTTCCTCTCAAGAACCACTGGAACAGAAAAGATGAAACTTATGTGAAAGCTTTATTACATAATGTAGTGGGGAGTTTGCTCGGATCATGACCCCAAGGGATATGAATTGGCCGCAATAAGCAATCAAAGTTACATATAGAAATATATATGTAAAAAACTTTATCAATCTTTTTCTCATGAAAAACTGGGCCAAAAGGGTTGAAACTTTTGTGAAAAGTAGCGGTAGCATGGGGCTTTAAAAATGTAGATACTAGGTAACAATCTTTAGAAATCTTCTTCTCAAGAACTAGACATACTGGTAGTATAGGGCCACAATGGGGGATCAAAGTTTCACACTAGATAGTGATAATTCTTCTTTTTAAGAACAGCAAAGCCATGATTAGTCGTACAGATACATGTATATATTGAAGAATCCTCAAGTAGTGTAGATTCAAATCTGTTGAAATCATGAACCCCTGGGATAGGGTAGGACCGCAATGGGGATCAAAGTTTTACATATGAATATATATTAGAAAAATCTGCTGATGAAGATATTGACTCAGGTGAGCATTGTGGCCAATGGGCCTCTTGTTTGCTCTACCCATGTCAACATGGCACTAGTCAGAAATGATAACTAAATAACAAAATCAAGTATGGACAGAAAAAAAAATCAACCAAGATATAAAAACCACCAAAAAGCTTGATTTATTTAATAAATATATAATTTTTCAGACAAGGCTGTTTATGCACATTTTTTAACATTACTGATGGTATAATTTGTAAAAGATATATCACTGAAAATTCTATTAGTCTTGTCAAGCTATTGCTGACTTACATTTTTACTGGCCCAACATTTTTAATCAGGCTAGTGTATTTGGAAAACAGTGTACTGTGCTTTGGAATCACCAGGTAAATTTAATTTAGGGTTGTTAAATAGGTATATTTAGTTGTCTTTATACCTAATCTCTCTCTCTCTCTCTGTATGTCATATTGCATATAAATCTAGATGAAAAATATTCCTTGTTGTTTTTCAGAATGATCAAGAACTTGTTTGACTGAAGAGATAGAATGAAAAGGGAAGACCCAAAAGTGTTTTATAACAGGTACTGTGAGAGTACCGGGTATTTCATTTTGTAGTTTTAATTTAATCAGTAGCAAGATTATAGAATTCATAACTGGTTACAGTTTAAATTGTAATATGGTTAAAACCTGAGACATAAATGATAGAAAATATGGTAAAGATATTTTACATATTTCATAAGTTACCGGTAGTAATTTGAATTATATACTTTTGAAATGAAACCCTATATCATTTTCACAGAATGCGCAAGATGGTTTGCATCATGGTTATGAAGGAAAAGCTGACAGTATTTTTGAGACAGCAAGAAAAACATCATTGCACACCACCAACTAATAAGACTCCAAAGGTGGGGGACCACATGCCATGCACATGCAACCATTTGAGATTTTACATGAAATTACTGCATTACATAAACTTGAGATTCCATGTAATTTATAAATTTAAAAAAACCCTTTAATACCTTTAAATCAATGTAGAACAATGAGTTTTAATTTGGTAAATGATAATTATATGTAACTATTATTTTAGGAATAACAAAGATTAGAGTTCAAAGAATGCTGGTACTTGGATAAAGATAATCAGGCATGGACTTTCATCTCCCATGGATCTTCAGCACCTTTAGGTTACAGTTTTATATTTCACTAGAAGAGACTCATAAATAAACAAAGGACAGTCAGTTACTACAAAAGAGAAGCATCGGAGATTACTGATATTTTGTTCAGCATTATTTCATCTTAAAAGATGTAAACTATTAAAATTTTGTTTACATCTATCAATTAATGATTTTGATACATGTACCAGTAATTAATAATTTTGATGTGGGATAAACTGGTAAAATTGAATGGAAAAGAAGCAGATGACTTGGTAATGATGTGTAAAAAACATCATTCATTTAATTAATACATGTAATTGCATGCAGTTAAAATTCGACCAAAATTCTTGTGGTGTATATTGAAAGGTGTAACCAAGAGGGAAACATAAAATGATTTTCATATTATCATTAAAATAAAAGTCAAGTTGTATATTATACAATTATTTCTGTTTTTGAGGTCATTACAATGGTTTGGCTTGCCTAAATGTATGCATTCACCGATCCTAAAGAAGGAAGTAAATATTGTCCCTCGATGGTTGTTGGATCAATATATTAACACCCCCCCCCCCCCTAAAATAAATAAATAAATGCAATTTCAATTTTTGTATAATACCCTATGTATCATACCCATAGGGTATGGTGTGTGCGAAACAAGCGTGACCTTTTGATTTGCATTGGCTGTTGGACTTTAAAAAGAACTTATAGGCTGAAAAAAACCCTCAAAAATGGGATATGATACTGTTTTTGTAAATATGGATTATCTCCCTTTTCAGCTTAAAATTAGAACATTTTACTGGTCATGAAAATATTTTGATTAAATGAAAAGTAAAATTGTGTTGTATTTCAAATTAGAAAATTGAGAAAAATTTTTTGAAATGTCAATTTATTCTTACATGCATACCTGGTATATATTCATGATATGTGTATAGGGCATAGTTATTGTACTGTGACAAAAAAAGGGAAATTGCCATTTTTTTTATGAAACTCATCAATCGTTTTGGGAAAATAATAATCATTTGCGCAAAAATGTTTTTATTATTTTATTTGCTATAGGGTATGGTGTCTATGAAATTAGCATGACCTTTTGGTTTGGCTGTTGGGTTTTTTAATTTTTTGATAGCTGAAAATCCTCAAAAAATTGATATTTTGCTGTTTTTGTCAATATGGATTATCTCCCTTTTCAGCTTAAAATTGGAACATCTTACAGGTCATGAAAATATTTAGATTAATTAAGATAAGTAAATAATTGTGTTGTATTTGAGTTTGGAAATGTAAAGAAATTGTGTTGAAATGTCAATTTCCTTTTACATGCATACATATATGGCATATATTGGACTGTGACAAAAAAAGGGAAATTGCCATTTTTTGAATGAAACTCGTCAATCATTTTGGAAAATAATAATCATTTGCACAAAAATGTTTTAATTATTTTATTTTCTATAGGGTATGGTGTCTATGAAACTAGCATGGCCTTTTGGTTTGGCTGTTGGGTTTTTTAATTTTTTGATAGCTGAAAATCCTCAAAAAATTGATATTTTGCTGTTTTTGTCAATATGGATTATCTCCCTTTTCAGCTTAAAATTGGAACATCTTACAGGTCATGAAAATATTTAGATTAATTAAGATAAGTAAATAATTGTGTTGTATTTGAGTTTGGAAATGTAAAGAAATTGTGTTGAAATGTCAATTTCCTTTTACATGCATACATATATGGCATATATTGGACTGTGACAAAAAAAGGGAAATTGCCATTTTTTGAATGAAACTCGTCAATCATTTTGGAAAATAATAATCATTTGCACAAAAATGTTTTAATTATTTTATTTTCTATAGGGTATGGTGTCTATGAAACTAGCATGGCCTTTTGGTTTGGCTGTAGGGTTTTTTAATTTTTTGATAGCTGAAAATCCTCAAAAAATTGATATTTTGCTGTTTTTTCCAATATGGATTATCTCCCCTTTTCAGCTTAAAATTAGAACATTTTACTGGACATGGAAATATTTTGATTAATTATGAAAAGTTACTATTTGAGCTGTATTTGAATGAGAAATAAACAAAAATGTGATTTATTGTCTGATTTTCTTTTAATTTCATATGAAATATTGATATTTTTGCCTATTTTTAGAGGAAATTTCAGCCATATTTTACCGAAAACAGTTTAACTGTTGCCATGGCAACCAGACACAGAATTGATAAAAAATCATTTTATTTTTTGTAGTATCTTAGCATACCCTACCAACATGCAAAGTTTGAAAAAATTCTGAAACCCCCCATGTATCACCCCCTGCATGATTTTTACACGGAGCCATACTTAAAAAGTTTAATGACATACCTATAGTTAATATGAGCTTAATAGCAGTTTTCAAAAGCTTCCTTAATGCCCCCCCCCCCCCCCCAACGATTTAAACCACCTAGATAGTTTAAAATTAATAATGGAAAATTATTCTTCAATCTATTTTTGCACCCTTTTCTCTCTTTATTTAATTACATGTATAAACAATGTCATTTTCATAAACAATCAGCGATCATTGGTCAGGCTCCACATACCCGGAAGTAGGAACTTGACTGCTATCAATGAATGAAATGGCACCGAAGAATAACAATTGAATTTCATTTTGCGAAAATGGAAATGATTTAGAAATAGACAAGTAATTGATTTCGGGCATTTTCGTTATCATTTAAAACGAATTAATCCGAATTAAACTGTGAAATCGATTTGTCGATCTATTCATTTCCTTAAATTGAATAACTTAGATGTAACAAATAAATAAGTTAGAAATAATTATATACACGTTGTTTTAATGAATCACGATGTGTAATTTATAGTTAAACTTTAATTATATTAAATTTGAAATCAGACTTATGATGTGCATGTCCAGTTAAATGTGTCTGTTACATGTACGAATATTTCCTGACTGGCCGAGTTTTGAAATGGCGGATTTTTTTCAAAGTAGTACATGGAGGTATATTGTTATTAATCAATGGTGTCAAAAAGAATTTCAGAATTTCAACACTCCCTCCCCCTTCAGTTCCACTTCATATGAAATTCTAAAGTGAGTTATGTCGAAGCTTAATAAGTAAAACAAATATGTTATCAATCAAAATGAAGTTTTAATGAATTTCATTCTGGCCCCATTCCAGAGACATAGATATGTAAAGTTTTACATCTGACAGAGTAATTCAAAATCTCCCCATCCCCCATGTCTGCCCCCAAAATAAAAACCTTGCAAGTATAATGTTCATGTTTTGTGCAGTGTATTTGTAGTATTTTATAACATACACAAATAAAACCCAAATTAAACTACGTGTAATTCTAAGGCATCATTTTACAAAAGAATAAAAAAAAATACGTTTACATAATTCGAAGGCAAGTTAAGCAATATTATTCCAAATCGATAACTGAGCTTATATATCATTAATAAAACGCGTAATGGTACGACTGTAAAGACTTAAACTGCATAGATATAATGAAGAACAAAGATCATATTGGCTACAGTGAAGAAAAAAAATTGCAGATGATACCTAAACCTTTGACCTTCATATAAACGCATTGAAGGAGTACCAAAAAAAAAAAATAAATAAGTTTTTGAGTTCCTGAAAAGTTATAGGCATACTTTAGAAAACAAGGATTTCATTTCATTTTTTAATAATTAAATTGTTTTGAAAATCCGTCTTCTCACTAAGTTTCACATTTCTTTATACATATATTACATGTAATAAATTGGATCCAATGTAACCACTTTCTCTCTCTCCCTCTCTCAATCTCTCATATCAATTTAAAACATGAACTTGTTCATTCTTTTTTTAAAGTAATGTTTTCTTTCGTATGGTAGTTTTTGTTACATTTAAATGCTTAAAAAAATATCGAAAGTGGATGTGAGAAACCAAAATATTCACTCAAAACAAAATTATATATATATATATATATATATATATATATATATATATATATATATATATATATATATATATATATATATATATATATATATTAGATTATTAAAGATAAATTTTAAAAAAAATGGAGAAGATTAGTTGCTTGTTCCAAAATACAGAAATATTTATTTCAAAAAATCTTATAACAACTAAAACGTGTTTTGAGTTGTTGTTAAATTTTTTTTTTTAATAATTCGGGAGCAAACCCATGCGATTTGAAACAGCTGTGAAATGTTTAGGAAAAAAAACTTGTGTACACTTGCAACGAAATTCCCTCTCTGGTACCTCTCTAGCACCTCGGGTTATCTCTCTTGTTTTTATTTATAGAAAATTATATCTCGTCATTCTTGTGTATTTTTCTAGATCTGTGAAGCATTCATCATAACTATGCTTTTCTTTTCTGTAAGAAGTTAGCCAAGCTTCAATTTTTGACCAAATAAATCGCATAAAAACAACTTACAACAATGTTTATGCAACATGCACCGATGATTCAATACATGTTGTGAATGGTGGAGCGGATCAATATCCTTTGCGATATTATAATAATGTCCGTGTTTAGCATGTATCCTGAAACTGGTCCACATATATAAAATCGCATTCATTCGTCCATATATTCAACACGCCAGTCAATCACCCTGTCTGAAGCTTAGGACAGTAATGAATTATAGATTAGAGACTATACTGTACCTACATATATAGCTCGATCTTAACTACTAGTAAAGAAACCGATCTCGAATAAAATGCTGTCATATCTTTATTAAAACCAGTGGACATAGAGATTCAGACACAAATGAAATATACGAAGGAAAATATTTTTTAAATTATCAATATTCATATGTACGGCAAAAGTAAGTGTCAAAACGTAAACACGTGGTTAAAAAAAAATTGCGTTGACGTTCACCGTCACTCTGCAACGTCACATCTTTATGACGTTATTTCTCTGTTTTAGTAAAAATGCACCCTTTTCCCATGGGCGCAATCATATAGACGTAACCAAACGATCTATCTAGTCGCGGGAATCTTAACTAATCAATTCTTATTGGTTAATCTCGCCATATGAAACATTTGATTGGCTAAGCTAAAAAAAATCGCTTTTGCCGAGATGCCATCTAGTGTACAAATACGTTACCATAATGCAATATACCGATAAATTACATAAATTTACAATATTGCAAAAACAATGTTAAATCCATTTTCAATAACAATATTCATAACCAAAATACAATAAAACATCTGTTGAGCAATTTCTAATCAATTAATACTTACAGTTCAAAATACATTAGTAATTTGACACATTCTAAAATTATCATTTACAATAACTTTATCGGTTAGTCATAACCGGAAGTAAACATTTGATGACAATACTAAACCCGAACTCTTCAAGCATGATTTAAAAATAAACAGGTAATCAACTTTAATGCAGAAGAAAATCATTCAATAAACAATGCTTCAATATATCCATCATAACACTGACTTTAATTTATCATGACAAACTTCAAAAGTTACGTTTACACAACCAAGTACCGTCTGCATTTCCTCGATATCAACATACAGTACCCGAGACATCTATTAATGCTAATACTTTGAGTAAAAACAATCTGTCGATCTCTTAAATCTTAATAATAAACTCTGAATGTATGTAAACTGCATCAACCCGCTCCAGATCACCATAATGTACAATAAATATTACAGTCATTGACTCTATTGGATAGAAAAATCAACCCGCTCCAAGTACGTACAAAAATAGCAAAATATTACAGTCATTGATGCAGCATGGTTTAGTAACCACTGTCATGGATGAAACAATAAGTTACACTGTGTCATATAACATTACTGTCTTGCATAAAAATAAAGAGGAGGGGGGGGGGGTTCAATCGTTACAGTGACCATGTGTCCTTCATCCCCTTAAATATATTCTGAGGCATGCTGAAAAGAAATACTAGTAAATGGAAACATGATTACTGAAGGAAAGCACTGATTAAAAAAGGTTATCTATAACAATTAACATTCTATATAATTATAATAATACACCTTTTGCAAATATTATTGAATTTAAACTTCAAAGGATAACTGCGCATAACACTGGGTTTAGGGTCTTTTTCCGTCGCTTCTGTTTCTTTTATATCTTAGCCTTATTTCACTTTTGTATATTTACTAAAGAATTCTGTCAATTTGGCACCAATTTAAATGTTAAAATGATTTTTGATTGTGATACAAATATATATTTGATTGCTGTGGTAAAATTTAGAAATTTATTTCAAAATTAAGGATTGTCTCCTGCATAGCTCTGATCCTTCGACGTATTTGGCTCCAGTCTTTGGCACCCATTTTTCGGCTCCTAAAGTTTTTGTTTTACTAAAATATTTCGGATTTCCAACGTGTCCGCATGAGCATCACTGAAGAGACATAATTTGTCGAAATGTACATCTGGTGCATCAAAATTGGTACCGTAAAAGATTTTTATACGCATACAATAAAATAATTCTATGTTTTTTGTCCTTACTGCTTTCCAAATATAGAGAATTTATACTTATATACTGCCCTTGATTAAACATTAAGTATGTATGAGAGGTGGAGCTAACATTGTAAGAATGTCTCTTAAATTAGACCAGATAAATAACAATAACATGTATATAAAATTACGAGATTACTCGGTTTCAAAACGCAATTAACAATATGAGCAATGTTGTAAGTAAAGAATATTTTGAATCGATCCCTGACAATTTAACGTGTTTGAGCACAGTATCCTAATTAGCACAAAACATGCTACCTTATTCACAGAGTTACCTGAGGTAAATCACGTGATGAATTATAATATTTAACATGTCACATCCATTGGCTACAACGAGAGAGCAAATGTAAGAAGAAGCATTTTTTCTCTTATAAACCATGAGTGCGTGTTTATCTCTTAATCTCCTTTTGACGCAACATTATTAATGCAAATATACAAATACTGTTAAACGGAGAACAATAGACAAACATGCGCTATGTATAAATTCAGTAAAAAAAGTGAGCGTCCTCATTATCGTAAGGAGATTTAAGAAATTGTGACGACCCTCGCCTTTGAAAACAGCTTTGTACTTCGTAAATACATACTTTTATTTAATGTAATTCAGTCATTCTACAAAAACATGCCCAATTAAATTTTTTTTTTTGTCTCTTACAAATTTACCTTTGTAATATCTTACATGTAACTATAATTTTTAAAGATCGATTTCAACTCTAAGACTTAAAATAGACACATGGTTTTGTAAATATTTAGTGATATATATGCGATTAAAGTTTTGATATGAGCATTGTATAATGTTTTAAAACGTACATGTATTCCACTGCAAATCTTGATGTCGCTTCATTCATTTACAAATTTCAAGACGAAATTTTCATCCGTAAAAGCGTTCCGAGTAGATTGCAAGAAGCGTAAAAGAAAAGGTTTTTCCTATATAAAAAGAAAACAAACCACTGAAGAAATGCATGGATTTTTTTTCATACGAAATCATAGCATGACTCTTAAAATCAATTAACTTTCGTAACTATTTTGTTTTAAATTGCACGGACAGAATGCAGATTTTACAAAGAACTGAAACTTTCAGGTAAAAAGTGAACATGGAACCTTATATCATTGATTCTAATTGCAAGTCTGCTACTTTAGACCATTATATTTTCGACATTAATTGAATTAGACAAAAACAGTTGTCCATCTTAAAAATGTAACTTCCATAACGTTAATTCAGTAATGTAACTTTCATTACTGGAAATTAACTTCCGTAACGATTAACTTCAGTAACGATATTTTCCCCAAAATTTTAACTTAACATCGGATTCATGCGAGACTTCAAAAACTATACATTAGCGTTCTATATCTGAAAACAAAAAAAAAAAATGGTCAAATTCCGTTGTATCTAAAACATAACAAGGCCTGTTCAAGCATTAACTTCTATAAAACTACCTTATTGTTGTAAAAAGTTAACGATACCAGATTTGTGGATAATCTATTTTTTTAAGAGCACTGATATGTCCCTCAGTGAATCATGTTGTTCAACTGGCTATTTGAAACAAATACTTTTTTTCATATTATATACCCTGAATTGGTCTTTTTATCGTAGAATGACTGAATTACGCAAAGTTGTAGATTAGATGTTGACCATTTCTGCAACTAAAAGAAAACTGTTTGTTTTGAAGGTTTATTTTGTCGCAATTTTCGCATGTCCTTAAGTGCAGTCATCCTTTACGGCAAGAACGCCGTTTTTTTTAAAAACAAAAACAAAACAAAACAACAAGATGTGTTTGTGAAACATTGATGCCCCCGTATGGCAACTTATAATGAAGGTTAAACTTTCTCAAATGCAAATCAAATATGTTGGTACCCAAAGTAAGGTCTTGTCCCGAGGAATATACCTTTAAAATTTTAAAGCCCTAGAAGCAACTATTAAAAAGATATGGAAAAGGTTAAAAATTTTCAAAAGTAAGTCAAAAGGTCAATAGTCAAAATTAATGGTGCCCAAGGAAAGGCCTTGTCACAAGAATTACACATGTGAAGTATGAAAGTCCTAGAACAAACCGTTCAAAAGTTATGGCCAAGGTTGAAGTTTTTCAGAGTAGGTCAAACTCCTAGGTCAAGGTCAAAGGGTCAAAGTTGTTGGTCTCCAAAGAAAGGTCGTGTCACAAGGATTACACATGTGAAGTATGAAAGTCCTAGCATTAACTGTTCAAGAGTTATGGCCAAGGTTAATGTTGGGTAAAATTTTGTAAGGTCAAGGTAAAAAATGATGGTACCCAAAGAAAGGTCTTGTCACAAGGAATACACATGTGAAATATGAAAGCCATAGCTCCATCCAATCAATAGTTATGAGCAATGTTAAAGTTTTTGCGGACAAACATACAAACAGATAAACAGACAAAGAGACAGACAGATGGACGGACGGACAGGGCAAAAACTATATACCCCCGAATCTTCGATACGGGAGCATAAAAAAGCAAACCCTTAAATGTCATCAAACGGTATTTGCTGTATATTGAAGATGAAGGCTGTATTTAAAAGCGGGAGATACCAAAATTAAATGGAGTTAACATGTGACTTTACTTTAGTATTTCAATAAAGTCTGAACAAACTGGAGCAACAAAGGTATCATTTATTGCACTTCAAGCAATTTGAAACCCAGAAAACGTCCATCTACCATACTCATTGCTGTAGTATGAATCTTGGTGAAGACCTGATGCTCGCGTTATGATGACGTCACCAGCATTAACAATTAAAACAACAAATCCAGTGGACGTTTCGTCCTCTCCGCCAGTCTCAGTATCTGCGTGCAAGATTCCCTTAACTTGACCATTTTGAAGTAAATGAGATGTAATTTCTCCTAAGCTTGTGTCAGCGTCTCCCGGAATATGACTTCCGGCCACATAGACTGTCCAGGAAAATCCATACACACCAGCTCTTGGAACTGTAAACGCCCCTGTGTGTTTACTGTACCCATTTCCTAAATTAGTGACAACTGTATCGTAAACATGAGCTTGGTTATCTCCGACATGGGTAAATGAATGCGATATATAGGCATAAAATGCAATGGGTGATAATCCTTGGCCTGTCAAAAATCTTTTACTTCTATGTTGAAGCTCTAAAGAAAAGAAAACAGCTTTTAAATATGTAATTACATACAACATTAGTTAATGACTGGCCCCAGAGCCACAATATCTTTTGTACGAATCTCTCACTTACCTTTATTTTCATGATTTTCAGCTTTTGTCCTCGTGGTTCTTTTATGAGATTTCGAGTTTGATCGATAATTTAAGAAATATTTTTGAGCAATTTCTTTCTCCAAGATTTTGATTTTTGATTCACACTGAGAGATTTTCTCCTGCTGCTTTCCAACTACTGTCATCAGCTTTTCTACTTTTAGTTCAACGTCAATTTTCCACTTTTTTTCAAGATTATTTGCACCCGCAGTTGCAAGCAAAGCCACAGTTAGGAGAAAGGCAATCATGTTAGTACAATATATCAACAATTACTTTTACTGTTTAGTGATCAAACGTTGAATTCATCAAAGACAAAAATGTAGATGACCTTTCTGATTTGTATATTTAATTTTTTTTATAAAATATATTTTCAGCTCATCTGAGATTTGGGTTATTTTTCTCCAAAACCATTGGTCTGTCACCAAAGTTCCAGTTTAAAAATCGCTGGAAAAGAAAGACTATGTGATTGTACAGAGGCGGGGAAATAAAGATGGCATTCCATGATCTCTCAGTGGTTGGATGTAACCTTCAGTGATGTTCCTTTGAGAAATGACAAAACAATAATATAGAATATTTCAACCTTCTCATGCAGCTTAAATCAAGGGTGTCGTGAAAAAGAAAATTCAATATTAAAAGAAGATATAAAACCATCAACCTCTCTATTAACTTCTCTCTATGACAAAAATAGAATCTGAAATAAACAATAGCCGTTAAAATAATTGCATTTGATTTAGATACTGATTACATTAAAAAAATCAAATTGCGTATAACAAACAATGTGACACAGATGAGCGGTGTGTTCTACGTGCATCTTGTGTATGAAAATAAAATTACATGCTGAGAAGTGATGAGCAAAGATAATCTTTATCAAAGTTTGCTTACAAAAATCGATCATGTCTAAGTTTACATTGAAAAATCCTGTGTTATGAAGAAATCTTCACTACATCGGTATCTGTTGATGGCATGAGTTCTAGTCTGTCATCACGCAAAGAGCCGGGTTCTTCCATGACATAAATTTACAGGTATGCAGAAACAGATTGAGATTTAAAAAAAATAAAGACATATAGTTCTGGGAGGGTGGATCCAAACTGCGATCAAATTGTGGCTGTTTTTTTTTTTTAATTTTATTTTACTCACCCTTTTTTGATTGCAGACAGCAGTGTATGCTTTGGAACTGTATTATGTTTATGATGGGTTCAACTTAAAATACATGTTTACTGTACATTGTCAAAAATTCCATGTTTGGAATTCTTATTCTAGTTCTGGTTGACAACCCATTTTCCTATGTACATCATGTAACAATGTCATTATGGTGCAGGGGGTCAGATTGTGCAATATTTTGCATAAGATGTGTAATACTCTATATTTGATTCCCACTTTCTGACACCCCCTCCCAATCTTGTATTGTTAACTATATTTTTACTACTTTTCGTCATTTACCTCAAATAATGACAATTTTTCACTTCTACACGATGTTATTTGTTTTTGCCTGCTGTAAAAAAACCCTCAGTGATTGAAAGCACTGGATTAGGTATGAATTTAACTCTTCAGATCCATTAGATCTGACCAGTTTACCATGATTTAAGACCACACGCATGATACTCCTTGAAAATACATTGAATTGCAGTGATACTTTTGTTTTTTTTAAATGTTTCTCAGTGCACAGTTATGCAAAGATTATTAGAAAAAGAATTTTTACATTTTAATCTTGTTGGCCTTAACCTTCTTTGAGTCAACGTACCAATTACCTAGTTCGAGTTTATTGTTTTCCAAAGTCATAAGCTGATTACGAATTTTAAACTTTCATTTTCTGAAATTTTTACCTTAAGGTACGACATGTTCTCAGGTTTTTTGTAAAAATTAGGATCTGAGTAATAGTTTACCTAAAATGTACATATTTATTTCTGTTTTATACATCTAATGCGGTATATTAAAAATCAAAAATTCTTTTTCAAACAATACTTTGTTTAATGTCTCGTGTAGTAACATTTATTTACTAGTCAGCTGAGATGATTTTTATTTTCCTTGGGTTTGTCCTCTCGAGTCAAGGTTTTTTTTATCCTTTTTTGCACCGTTGATAGCACAATAATAAAGAAGTGGGAAATCCAGAGTCGGAGTACAAGTATTGACTGGAGTATGGAAAGGAGAATTGCTTTTAGCACGTGTTCATATGTACAGTTTCTGTCCGTCTATCTGAATGTGACGTGATAAGTGAATTGTATAGCATAAATGGAAATAAGTTAATCTTGTTTATTACAGATACGTAATCATTGAAGTAGATTACTTAATAAAAAGGGTTATCTATAATGATAATTCGTTTTTTTATTAAAGTAATTTGAAAATCAGAAAATGCTTATTAGCCATACTCAGGATTGCTTATGAATGAACCTTGATGAAGATACCAGAATTCTTGTTATAATGACGTCCATGACGTCACCAGCATTAATGCTCAGAACTACAAATCCAATCGACGTATCATCTACTGAGTTAGTCCCAGTGTCTTCGTTTATGAAGGACTCCCAGGAATCCCTTAACTTGACCATTTTAAACAAAATAACATGTAGTTAATGTAGATTCCTAAATATACGCTAGGAATTATATTATTAATAATAACAATACCTTGATCAACCATCCGTTCGCGAATTATTGTCCTCGCGATTTGACGCTAAAAAGCTATTTTTGAGATAAGAAGTACTCGCGAAAAATAAGGAATCTACAGCACTCCTAGTTGTGTGCGTTGTGACCTGCTTGCTTTTTCTGTATTATTACATTGTGTCCATTGTACGTACAACGAGATGATAGGCAACGATAACATTTTGAAATTTGCGCACAAACATCAGTAACATTTTTGTTTGCATTAGTATTACTTGACGAGGCCGGTGCTATTAAAGAATCTAAACTACGTAGGCATTCGTTGATAGTACGTTCCAAAACGTATTTGTATTAAATCTCTTTGAAGCTATACCGGCAGTTTGAAATATAAAAAATGAAGTTACAGTGTACATATTAATTGTTTTGAAGTATTTAAGTTGGTTAGGCAAAAAAAGAGAAATCATCGTGGTTTTCAATCATAATAGATAATCCAGCAATAAGATATTTGTTCTAAGTGTAATCTTATTGTTCTCCTAAGTTCTGAGCTGGAACTTTCAATCTCTGTAAGGCTTTCATTGAAAATTGTTTGATTGCCCTTTCCCAAACGACTGACTAAAACAGTGCGACTTAAATTTTTTTCAACTCCAGGAAACATTTAATTTTTTAATTTTTTCATCCAAAGTTTTATCATCCCATTTTATCTATTTAAACTTCACATTCGCAAGTGTTTTTGAATAAAAAAATGTCACCCTTTAAATATCTTGTTTATACATACTAATAAGTTAACTACTCATTCAGCAGTTATATAATTTTCACGTTTTTATGAATCATCCATTTGATTCAAGGCTAGGTTTGAATAAACGATCGACGTCCACTTCACCTTTCCTTATTCTTATGCCCCACTGATATCACGTCGTCTTTGCTGTGATAAGATAATAATAACATTTTTACTTAAATACAAAATATTTGACAAAACATTCAGCCTCTGAGTTCGGTGAAATATTTATGGTCTTGTTAGTTATTACTTTAATCTTTCATAAAATCTTTGATATAAACAACAGAAACATTTTGGCACAATGGTAGGTTTTACCCTAACGGGATCATTCGAACAAGGTTAAAGTTACTGATTGAAATTGGATATGAGGAATTCTTATTCGGTTCTGCTCCGTAATGGAGAAAAAAAGAAGCCCATATTTTGCAGAATGCATGATATATTCAGAGAGCGTATTTTGACCTTGACCCAAAACCACCCAGTTATCACAATTGATCAATATCCTTTATTTTGAGATGGAATTATATCAGAAACTCAAACTAAACTTAATGATAGGTAATGATAAAAAAACGTCATAATGGTACTTTGTGTGTAAACAAGATTAAACAGTTCTACAGTGCAGGAAACTAATTTTGTTACAGCATCGATGCTGATTTGAATGCTTCCTTTGCTTGCTGATTTGAATGCTTCCTTTGCTTGCTGATTTAATGCTGATAATCCTTATCCTGATGCTGTTTTATAATAAGGTCAATGCTACCGGAAGTAGTATCATGCTACCGGAAGTAGATAATGAATTTCAGCATTGCTGTTTAAAGCAATAAAAGTGCCTTTTACAATTATTTGATCATAATATCTCACTATGTATAAATAATGTGAATACTTTAACCAATATTCTTTCTTTCTTTTTTAATTTTTTACTGAATTAAAACTCATTGATTTTCTGATGCTAGTAGGATAATGCTGATTTTATGTAGGTCAATGCTGGTTTTATCCTTTGCTTGCTGATGCTGATCCTGGTAATGCTGTTTTTTAAATGCTGATGCTGATGCTAGCTCGATCCTGATGCTACTAATGCTTATGCTGATGCTGGTTTATGTAACAAAATTAGTTCCCTGCACTGTAACTAATTTAAAACAATCTCTTATTATTCATTCTTCTTTCACTGAAGATTTTCCTTATAAACTTGAAACGAAGTTGTTCTTACCACTGTATTTTCTAAAATTTAGGTTCTAAATAACTTTAATATCCTTGCAATGGAAATTGATTTTAGGGGTGGTGAGCCTAACATTTTAGTTTCTTTCCTTGTCCAAAAAGCTCTAAATATCCTTTAGAATATACTTAAAAGTTTACATTCTTATGAATTCAGTCGACAATATTTCACGCTTTGTTTTGTTATTTTTTCATAATATCACATTTGTACAACATAGGACGTTCTACTTTATCAAACAAGAGACCCATAGGTCTGCGTATCATGCATTTCTCAGACTATGACCAACACAGCCCCAATAAAATCATATGAGTATTGTTTGTCATTACATTTAAAACAAACAATATGAAATGTACAAAAATAAATTCATTTTTCAATTCTAAAAATACATTCACATTAAAAACCCACCGCCTATTTTTTTTAAAAATCTTTTTGCAAATGTTAAAACATTTAATCTTAACGTACATGTATCAAAAAAGCAGATTTAAAATCACAATTTTTTTCCTAAAGTCCATAACATCAAAACCTACGACATTATTCAGCCATTCCTTACGATAGATTAAAAACTAGGCTTTTTGATATCATAGACAACTGCTTGTTCAATCAAAATGGTATTCAGAAATTTTTATATCTTGTAATTGGTCATCAACAGAATTACTTTGTTAAAAATCACTCTGATTCTACATAAAAGTACTCTGAAACTGATATTAAAAGGATTCTGGAGTTCCTCATTGACAACATTTATATAATCTTTGGAGACCAGGTCTTCTAGCAAAACTGTTGGTATTACGATGGGCACTTTATTCGCCGACATGTGTTAACATTCCTCTGAAGTAGAATTTATTAAAAAACTACTACATGATAAGAAGAAAACAATTGCTTGGCCTTCAACTCGACTTTCAGACATATCGACGACGTCTTCTCAGTTAACATTTAGTTACTTCCATTCAATATATCCCAATGAACTTGAAATAAAAATCAGTACTAAATTTGACTACGGAATGTTCCGTCTACCTTATTAATACTTATTGCTCACGGCAAATAAAATAAACACTGATGAACCCCAAGAAATATTTTTGTAATCTGATATATCTTTAAGATTAGAAATTTGATTTCAAATCTTTATTATTCAAATGAAAATTATAAACACACAAGTGAAATGTCTAAAATGAAATAGACATGGCATAGTTTGATAAGGCACATGATATGAAAATAAAAACACTACTGTCAAATCTCGTGTTTTGCTGGACTAATGTTTAGTAAATTAACCATTTTCTTGTTTAGGAACCAGCACGTGTCACCAGATTGCGATGTTTTCTGAATGACTATAAACTTCAGACTAGGTCTTCCTCGTCGTCTGCAATTAACATTCGCCATTAATTTCCCTTTTCTTGACAATTGTCTCCCTATCCTGCACTTCATTTTGACAAAGTAACCTGTAAATTAAAAAAAAGAATCGCACTTCAAACTGCTTAAAAAGAATTACACTTCACACTGCTTAAAAGAATAACACTTCATACTGCTTAAAAGAATTACACTTCATACTGCTTAAAAGAATTACACTTCATACTACTGGAAAGAATTACTTCATACTACTGGAAAGAATTACACTTCACACCGCTTAAAAGAATTACTCTTTTCACTGCTTAGTGCTTATAAACTACAAATAATTTTGATTTTACATGTTGCCCGTGTTAAACATCAAATATTAAAGTGTATTACCACAAATGTAAAAACGCACACAAGAAAGACAAGAGGCCCAAGGGCCTTAACGGTCACCTGAGTACAATACAACAATTTTGAGGATCCATAAACTGATAAATGAAGCTTTGTTGCCCAAAGCAAGAAAAATAGCATGATCTGCATCAACAAAACAATTGGTCTAGTATCTATCTGTCCCCCATTTATCACTATTACGGTTTATTTACCATGCAGACTATTAACAAACTGTCTATTTTTTAACCCCATATTATTACTTCTCACATTGGCCTCTCTTGGCCTTTGAAGAACAATTAAAAAAGATAAGTTATCTTTGTCTCAATTTTATTCATCTATTATTTCCAAATCTACCTGATCATTAAAACTTTGAAAGTACTTTTTGTATTATACAATAAATATTCTTGCATAATTCTCTTATTCTATTAAGCATTCAAATACATTATTTACAGTGATTAATTATCAAAAGTGAATGACAAAGTGGAATAACTTTGCTCAGCAGAATACAAGTTAATAAAGCACTGGCCAGGACCAAAACACTTGATTAAATGGTCCAGGTGGTCAAAATTGTGGTAAAAATACCCTTGCATATTAAAACTTTTCTCTGTTTGCCTCGAATATGCCAAGAAGCATAGAAAATTTTCAAAGAAATGCATTTTCACTATATTATCAAATAAAAAAAAAAAAGCCCCATCCTTACCATTGGCTCCATACCATTGGCTCCATTGGCCATAAGCTCACAATTCTGGAATTAGCACCCTTGCTCATCATGACTATACACTTTCTTTGCTTTATAATATAACCAGGAGTAGAAAAATTTTTTGAAAGAATTATGCATTTTCACTATACAATCAATAGAGCCCCCCTTTCACCAGAACCCTTGACCCAGGGGTCATGAATTTCACAATTTTGGAAGAGGCATTCTTCCTTATCATAACCATACACTTCCTTTGTTTGAAAAATACCCAGGAGCAGGTAGAAAATTTTGAAAGAACTTATGCATTTTCCCTATATAATCAATAGAGGCCTGCCCTAACACCAGAACCCCTGACCCTGGGGCCATGAAATTCACAATTTTGGAAGAGGCAACCATGCTCGTCATAACTATGTACTAAGTTAGTTTATTTAAAACCCAAGAGCAAAGAAGAAGATTTTCAAAGAATTAATGCAATTTTACTATATAATCAATAGAGCCCCTCCCTAACACCTGAACCCCTGACCAAAGGGCCATGAAATTCATAATTTCTGAAAAGGCAGCCATGTTTACTATAACTATGTTCTTGAATAGTTTATCTAATACCCAGGAGCAGAGAAGATTTTCAATGAATTAATGTATTTTCACTATATAATCAATAGAGCCCCGCCCTAACACCAGAACCCCTGACCCTGGGGCCATGAAATTCACAATTTTGGAAAAGGCACTCTTGCTCATCATAACTATATGTACTTAGTTACTTTATTTAATACCCAGGAGCAGAGAAGAAGATTTTCAAAGAATTAATGCATTTTCACTATATAATCAATAGAGCCCCGCCCTAACACCAGAACCCCTGACCCTGGGGCCATGAAAATTCAAAATTTTGGAAGAGACACTCTTGCTCATCATAACTATGTACTTAGTTACTTTATTTAATACCCAGAAGCAGAGAAAAATATTTTCAAAGAATTAATGCATTTTCACTATATAATCAATAGAGCCCCGCCCTAACACCAGAACCCCTGACCCTGGGGCCATGAAAATTCACAATTTTGGAAGAGACACTCTTGCTCATCATAACTATGTACTTAGTTACTTTATATAATACCCAGAAGCAGAGAAAAATATTTTCAAAGAATTAATGCATTTTCAATATATAATCAATAGAGCCCCCCACCCCCCACCCCTGACCCTGGGGGCATGAAATTCGCAATTTTGGAAGAGGCATTCTTGCTCATCATTACCATGTACTTAGTTACTTTATTTAATACCCAGGAGCAGAGTAGAAGATTTTCAAAGAAATAATGCACTTTCACTATATGATCTATATAGCCCCACCCTAGCACCAGAGCCCCTGTCCCTGGGGCCATGAATTTCACAATTTTGGTAGAGGGCTCAATGCTTATTACGATCATGCCAACAGTTTTCTGAAGATTTTTAAAGATTGCATTAATTTTGGTAGTTTTAGGCCCCAGGGGGGCAGGGACCATGAATTTCACAATTTTTGTTCCCCTTCACCCATAGATGCTATATGCCAAATTTGGTTGAAATTGGTTGAGCAGTTTCAGAGAAGAAACTTAAAATGTTCAAATGTTAACGCACATCGCTCGACGCCAGACAAAAACGGATAGCAATAGGTCACCTGAGTGACTCAGGTGACCTAATAAAGCTGTATCAATTGATCAATCATGAAAATATCGACATACTGAGGATTCCGTCGTACTGTTTCCTTTGGCGGCCGCGAATTTCTGCTTTAACACCGAGTCCATGTTGATTCTCAGCAACGGCCAATTTTATCCCATCCACGTCACATTGGAAACTCGGAGCGTTTTTAAATGCGTCAATATGGAACGTTTCATATACTTTTCCTCTTCTGAACTTTTCTACCTTGATGCTGGCAAACATTTTAAGTGTTCTATTTTGTTTGCTTGCAGTTGTTGCAAGCATGGCACAACCTTTGCAAAGAAAAAGATCAATCTTAAAATACTAGCATATGTTTTATCTATTTCATGTTTTTCTTGTTTTAGATGTATTTAAATAACTAATATTTTTTGGATGCGAATTTACAAAAGGAGAAACATTTCATACAAAAGTTAGCAATGCCTTTCTTCCTCTATATGTAAAAGTTGTCGCAAAAATGAAAGGGAGATTTGACTTAGAAATTCTTTCCGAATATACGACTTACCGTTCTTTTGATTTGCCCTCTTGATAATATCATAGGTCTTTGAATGTGTCAATGGTAAGTCAAAGCACATGTTCACCTTGGACACTTTGACAAGGAAGGATGGTAGCGTCTGACCCTTCATAGTGGGACTTGGTGTACTGACTAAAAAATAAAACAGCCATTACATATGTTTTCTTTTGAATCATGGAAACAACACTGAAAAAATAGAAACGAGTGTATCAGTTTGAAGTATTACATGTATGTTTAGTATAAAGTATGTAATAAAACGACGCTTCTACTAGTACAATCTAAGAGACAATTGGTAGAGCTTCAAATTTTAAATATGAGGGTTGTATTGTCAATCGAAATTGCGGATTCACGCTAACTAGTTGATTAAAGAACTAAAACCTTAATTAAATGTACATGTATTGTTTTTGAGCATGGATGATTAGGTTTGTAACTATTTATATGATTACTTACATCTTACTGATCAACCGTCACGGTAGGTCAGTCGGTAGAGGGCTCGCTCCGTGATCGAAAGGTCATGGGTTCATACCCCGGTCGCGATTGACCTAAGTAGATAGAAAATAGGCAGCAACTGTTCCTTTGCCTGCACTTTGAAGTGGAAGTTGCAGGTCTTTCGGGCGAGACCTTAAAAAGTGAGGCTAGCGTTGGCAAGATAAAGATCCCTCACTGCTCAATGGCCTTGAGTGCCGAGTAAAAATTTAAATATGACGCCCTTCAATGGTATATGCCGACGTCTCTATACGAGTGAAAAATTCTCAAACAGGACGTAAAACAGCATACAATCAATCAATCTTACTTGTTAAGTTTAAAGAATGAGCATTTGTCAAATTACTGTATAATAAAAATGTTTAATGACCTAAAATAATCTTTTAGTAGTTAACCGCTCTTATATTAATAAATATCACATTAGACATGGCTGAGGAGCAATGTAATAACACTAATTTAAGCAAAGGTTCAAATTCCAGTGTACATTGTAAAGATCTACACAAGGTAGAGAAACCTTAACTTCACATACATTGGCATCAAAGGTTAGCCTTAGGTTGAAGTGATCACTTCTTTTTCCAAGTAGGCAGTAAAGCTGAAAGCATAATAATACTACTTCAAGCAAAGGTTCGAAATCTGACGTTGGGTTCAATGTTCAAGTGTTTCTTAATAATGTTACACATCAGTCGTTGATACCTTTCAAAATTATATAATCAAGAATTGTCTATCAAATAAAAGACAACGATTTCCCTATTTATTCCGAATTTGTTTTCAAATCCTCTGTAGTAAATTTGAAATTTTAGATAACATCATTTAAATTGCTTAAAATTTCTTTGATATTTGTAAGGATGCTGGCATATAAGTGTGAAAGGTATTCTTGATTTTCATATCAGGAATAGCATACTTTTATAATCGGAAAGTTTGATAAACGTTGGATATCAGCTATTGCTCCGCCGCATTCCTGAGACCAAAGTTATAGACAGACACTAGACCGACTGCTCCTGAGTACCTATTATCATCTTTATATCCCAAAATCTGCTTTAATATCTCATTCTAAGTACAAAAAAAATTGTTTCCTTCGATTTCCTTTACCTAGAGGAATCCATCTACAACGTTCAATGGTAGTATAATATGTTACGTAAGAAAACCTGCAAAAAAAATTACCTTGAGATTTGACTGTAACTGTTAAATTGGTATTGGTGTTGGTAGTTCTGAAGAATGGGATGTTGAACTTTCTTCTTTTGAAGACTGGATAAAATATTGAGGCAGACTGAGGGCGCAATGCAGCAACGCCCATATGAGAGAAAAACTGAGGGCGCATTGCAGCAAGGCCCATATGAGAGAAAAAACCGGAAGCAAATCGAGGGAGGAAAATACCTAAATAGATGAAAATAATTCATTAGCTTGCAGAAAGTACTTTTTTAAAAAGAATGACTGAAATGCTTTAGACTTTGGCAGATTGACAAGTCGAGAAATCCTACTTTTTGTTATCAATTTTTGAGTACTTATTACATGAAATTTGGCTTTTATTAAAATTCTAAGACTTCCTGTTTGCAATACCTCTCATGACATATTCCTGAATATAAATTGATAAAAATTTCACTTAAATGTGATGGTCTGCAGAATGCTGAATTTCAATAACGAAAGAAGTGGCAATTCTGTCAATTTGCAGTTTTCTATTAACTGCATATTACTAGATCTACATACCATAAAGATCCACTGGAGATGGGGTCTTCATAACACCACCCATAACTTGCACATTTTGTCGTCTACTATTACTGTATCTCCTGAATGGTGAATCAGTAGAAGTCTTCCCTGTCATTATAACAGTAACACATAAGTACACAGTATGCGAGGAACAAAATCAACATTCTCACTCGTACATTTGTTACAGTTACACATGTACGATGGATCCATATCATAATTTAATGTACAATATAAGTATGCTGAGCATTGTTGTCCTGGTCAAATTTTGGAGAACTGTCCAGGATATTTCAAATTAATATTTCCTGTAAAAAAAATTGGAAGGAATGTGAGCTGAGCAACTCATTTGCAGAATAGAATATTATGATGAAACTGCCAATTCACTTATAATCACATTAAGATACTCAGATCTATAACTGTTGTGTATCGAAATAATGAGCTGCTTGCGCATGAGTTTCAATCAGCACTTTTAGTGTCATTTTTAAACATCTGGATATTGTAAAGTAGCATTAAATTAAGGCTCCTCAAATAACAATAATCAGAATCAACATCTTTAACTTTGTACATAAAAATGTTATAGGGAAAAGACCTCAACTTTCCCTAAAGTTTTTAGAGTGAAAATATCAATTGGGAATTTTGCTTCTCCATGGATAAATAGACCAATGTTAAGCACACTAATAATTGTGCAATTTGTCTCTACAATCAAGATTTCGAAAAAAAAAAAAACCCAACAAACAACCTTGATTGTTTGCAAAAGAAATTATTTGAATGGATATACTTAACCCACATATTTATACCTTGTGTATCATCCATGTAGACTTTCTGCAGATTAGGTTTAGAATCGTCTGGGAGGGTCACAACCATTGACGTCAGTGGGGTAACAAATTGATACTTTGATAAAAAAAATGAATAAATAATAAAATGTTTAAAATTTTATGTTTTAAAATGTTTAAAATATTTAAAATGAAACTGGTTTTTCTTTCTTTTCATATTTCAAATGTGTACAATAGATAATGAATAAAAAGGAATACTTTTAATTATGTACCTTCAAAGACATGTCCAAAATTTTCTTTTCAATGTCGTAGATTTCCTCTTTGTCATCAATACCGTCTCTCTTACGAATCAGTTGTTTAATCGTGAGGTATGCCCAGAGATTTTCCATCATGTTTGGGTGTTTTGGTTGGGGTTTTGGTGTCGGGGCTGATGGAATGGGAAGAACTTGACGCGGTGGTGGCGGTGGCAAAACACATATTAGAGATCCCTGAAGTGTTAACTGCAAGCTGTTAAATCCTCTAGCATATACATTGATTCCACCTTGTAATGTTGACATATCTTCAATCTTTCCGGCGACAACGAGTTCTGATCCCTCAAAATAGGTGTTAAAATTAGTCTGAGTAACTGTTGACTCATTTAGAGAACCATCAACATATTTGAAAGATATGTTTCTCATGAGAATAATAGAAATTTCTTTGTAAAACCCTGCGATTTGCAGAGCAGCGTCAGAGTCCTCGTATATTCTTTTGCCAAGGCCGTCATTTTGGGCGGCGACTTTCTTCGTAAAATCGTAGTCTGCACCTCGACCAAACGCAAGACTGAAAATTGGAATGTCCGCTTCGTTAAACTTTTTTATATTTTCAAGAATTTTTTTGGTTTTGGTGACTCCGGAAGTAGGTTGTCCGTCAGTGAGGAAAACCAGGACAGGAGCTCTGGATTCCTGAGTATATTTGGACAGAAGATTTAATCCTTCTGTCATCGCCAAATTGATGTCTGTCACTGTAATACGAATCAAAAGATTTGAAACTTTTTAAAATATCTAAAAGAAGTGTTCTATATCATTAATGTTGCTCTATATGCACTATATATAATCCATAGTACTTGGAAATCTGCGTGAAAATAGCAAAACGAACTGTAAAAATGTATTTAAATATTCTGTTATTTCATTATTAATTGTTAAAATGTAGCAAGAGCTTAACATTTGTCACATTAATTAACTAGCTCAAAAGTTCCCTTATAAATCTAAAATTTGCGCGAGGTTGATATCTATAGATTATGAAACCCTAAAAAGTTTTCAACTTTTATCCTTAAAAAGAAAATTCCATAATGAAATTATATAAATAAAAACATAAAAAAAGAGGCACAAGGGCCTTAGCGATCACCTGAGTATAATATAACTGTATAGGATCGACAGAAATATACGAGGGCTGTTCAATAAATTATGTCCTCGGTGCTCGGAAAGAAACAAAAAAAACTTTTCAATGATTTTGTCTTAATGATTTCCCTTAAATATGCTCCTTTAATTGAAACACATTTCTGTAACATATTTATCAAATTCCTAATTGTTTTTAGAACATATTTTTGAGCATGCTCTTCGTATACTGGAATATGACAGATCCTATGATTTCCTGGATTTGTTTCTTCTTTCTGAAAGGTGTTTTTTCAAGTTTGGAAAATGAAACTAGTCGTACGGTGAAAGATCTGGCGAATATTGTTGGTGTGACAAAACTTTAACTTTCTGTTTATCCCAAAAACTCCTTTACTGTTTAGGACGTGTGGGTTTGGACGCTGTCATTAAGAAAATAAATAGAGTAGATTCATGATTCTGGTTCCTTCTTCTCATAAACCTTTCG